TGAACAATTTTTTGTCCCTTTTTGTCTATCAGTCTATGAATGAAAAGTTCATATCTTGTTAAAAAAGAAAAAGAGTGAATTTTTTTTTAATAGCTTTTTTTATGTGTGTGTATAGTTAATACAGATTGTGGGTTTTTATCGCAGTTATTGCTCTATCCACCTCTATATGTAATCACACACAAATATATGTACTCTTGCAAGAAAGACTTTTTTGGTTAAATGGTGTTATATATTGCTTGCAGATGCATTGCTGTTAAAACTACATTATCGGACGAAACTCTAAAGACTGCTGGTCCATCACTTATTCGAAATGATATAGGAAACATCACACTTCATGATATTCTCTCTGGTGGTTCTGATGCCTATAGTATGTAGCCCTGAGAATACGTTACGATGTCATTTTGTACCTTCATTCATGTTGAACAGTGAATCTATGTCTGTGCCGTGTTATATGATTTATAACAGAAATTATTTTCCTTTGATTAGAAGTAAGTCTATTTCTCGCAATTGAAATACTATGTAACAGGAGACTACTTTTGAATAAACAAATTTTCATCTTTTGGTTGTATTATTCTTAAGTCAATTTTTCTTCTAGAACTTTAGTGTATATATATTTTTTTTCGTGTAATGGTGGTACACAAGAATTAATTTGTTTCTGTCTAATAGTTAAAGTTAGTATTGTGGCACATATCATTGCAGATGAGAAGATGCAGGGACCTCAATTTATTCAAACCTCTGCTGAAATTTCCCCACAAAAATATACCTCAGACATCGATGCAACATCCGTACAGGACTCAGATACTGCAAGTGATGGTTTGTTGTCGTTTGGAAGGTAGACGTCATTAAAATTTCTACATCATGTGTGAATATGACCCAAGAACATTGTGCTGTCCATACTAATCTGCAACATACTCTGTATCCATTTAAAGAAAACTGCCTTCAGTGCGTCATAGAATTTCATTTTTCCAGCCCATGTCCCATTGACACCCCTAGGATTAAGTACCTCAACTTCTCAGAATTATTAGCAAGTTGCAGACAGAAAATATCTACTCACTAGCTTGAGTGAGAGCCTTGAATGGAAGAAAATATTTAGAGCTTCTGAAAATTACAACTACACAGCCTAGTTGTCTGGATATCATACCTAGATGATAGGCCTTGACTTATTTGGAATTTATTATTTTTGTTCTGTTTGTTGTTTTGTAATTGTATCCCTGATTTACGGGGACTGCAGTTTTGGATTTCATTTCCTCGTGTGTTTTTGGTGGAATGGTTGTTTCAGAAATTGTATATCAACAAAATACTTGAGAAATATACATCTTCTACTCCCGAATTTGTTAGATACTCTGGTGAATCATGGACAGGTTGCAGGGTACTAGACGAAATCTAGTGAGATATGGAAGCTTGGGCATTGCTTTTTCTTGTCTCATATTTACCGTTACAAACTGGAAGGTGCAATTGTCTTTTAACCAACACGAGAGTAAATGACGCCATCCAATTTGCTAAGTTTTTCTTTCTTACTTGAATTTATTTATACAATTCCACAGGCAATGCAGTATGCATCTCCTAAAGCTATTTGGAATTTGTTATTTGGAGTTAACCAGCCTTCTTTTCAAAATTATGTAAGCTCAGGTATGATTTAACATATTTAATTTTCCAGCTGCATATTCACTTCTTAATTAATATTCATTAATCTTTTTTCATAGGAAGCTAAGCGAAAATTATTTAGGAAAAAATTACAAAAAAAAAAAAAAAAAAACAAAGAGGGTAAGGCATCCCTCGATGAGCTCAAGGGGAATATAAAAAGGCTGCTAATTGGCATTAATGGAAATAATATCATTATTTCAGAAAACTTTAGACCAAATACACCAACTGGAAGTGTCGGGCCCAAAATTCTCCATACTTACGTAAGAAGGGCAAAATAGAGAATGACAAATAGTTGAAGATACCTTCTTGTACAAAAAATGAAGAAAAGTTGTTGACACTTAGAAGAGACAGTATGTACCTTCTTAAGTAGGGAAACTTGGAGATTGGGGGATCATGAAAACATTATATGAGTAAGGGGGATTGAGAGAGTGATAGTCCTGTTTAATATGCTATCAGTTTTGGGAGACAGAAGTCATATGTATTGGGGAATACCTCAAATTGTTACTTAATATTTTGGATGGTTTAGTATCTAATACTACTTTTCGTCTCGGTATCAGAGTACATATGGGACCTTGACATTGAAGAAAATTGAAGGGAGCCTTGGCTGAATAGATTATATATCTTGAGTTGAACTCATGTTTCTGGGATTGGAACAGTCTGATGACATGCCAACGAAGAAGATAAACAGAGGTGACATTAGAATAGGAAGTGGAGTTGAAAAATTGGTGCAAAAGGGGGCTGACCTGAAAGATGGGAGACAATAATGGATTAGGAAACATGTAGGAAATGGGTGGAGCAACTAAAAAGGATACTGGGAAATGGTACAAGCATAAAAGGTGAATGCCCTAGTAGGACTTATATTCAAAATGGAAGCAAGTGGGCAAAAATGTCGATCTTCTCCTATGAGAACCTTAGGTCCTAATTATTCTGAGTTAAGAGGTACTTTGAGATTTATGTAAATATCTAAAGTGGAGAAGTGATTACTAGTGAGTTTCGATGGAGGCACTTTGATGTGGTATTGATGGATGGACATTAGAAAGGCTTTAATATCTATAACTATTTTGGTTTTTCTGTTCATCAAGCTTTATACTTCTTATCTCTGCCTTTTAACGATTCTGTATGAGCTTTTATTGTATTTTAATACGATTCTTTTGTTCATTTCATGGTTTTACATCCTCGTTATTATATGATATTTATCAGAACAAGGAAAAGAAGTGAAAACTTATCTCCTTTGACTGGGTATAGGTGGTCCAGGAAGTGAAAGAATCCAACGATTTATGGATTATATATCAGATATAGAAACCAGGTAATTGTTCTATTTCTAACTTCTCCAATGTAATTTGTTAGAAGTTTCTTCGTCAGTCTATTCTTTTTATGAAAATATTGAACAATGATCAAGTCTCCATAATTTTTTATGAAATATAAATATCTCAAAATTTTGTAAGAGGAACTGCTCCAGCTGTGCCAGAATTTCCATCAAAACTTGATTGGCTAAATACTTCTCCCCTTCAGTTCCGCAAGGTAAATTGTAACTTCAATTTGGACCAAGACTTCCATGAGATGCATATGCTGTTTAAAAATTGTTCCAACTTTGTAGGATTTGAAAGGAAAAGTTGTTCTCCTGGATTTTTGGACCTATTGTTGTATAAATTGTATGCACGTGTTGCCAGACCTGGAATATTTGGAAAAGAAGTACAATGACAAGGCGGTAACTCCCTCTTTCATTTTATGTCTTCCAATATATGGCATCAAGTGCTTCTTAGCTTGCTTATGCCCCTATAATTTATTATTTTATTTATACGAGTCCTTTGTTTGTTATGTATAATTATGCATTTGGGACCAAATAGATAGATACCCTATATTATATCAGCTTGAAAAGTGCATAAATTTACAAACACATGCACATATTATATGAGCATAAAGAAATTCACTTGCATGAACTGTTTGATGTGAATTCAGTGGAATGCTTGAATTAAACCACTTAATATGGAACAATGAAACCACTTGAGTTGCTTATTTGGTCGTGAAAAACAACTTTGAGGCCTGAGAGCAAAGCTAATAGACAAGTTTTAGTAAAGGGTTTTGTAGGAGAGAGATTACCATGTTGAGATGGCTGTCATCCCTCTTGTTGGAGAGGATTATCTTGTACTGGGTATCTCATTAATAATACACGAAACCCAGATTCCTTCAATTTTATTCTGGATCCCAATAATGCTATTTATATGTAACCCTCCAAATAAAAATACCCGTTAGCTCTTTTAATAGAGTTGATTTTGGCATCCAATAAGTAATTGACAGTGTGGAACTTGGAAATCCTCTCTAAAAGAACAATGAGAAAGAAATCTAATTGACATGTATTATTATTATTATTTATAACTCGTGAGTATTTGGACTAGCTTGCATGCACCTCAACTAATCTTGCGGAACAACTGCCTCAGCCTACTACAAATTTTATTTTATTTTTATTATTATTATTTTTATATTTATGAGTGTTCGGACCAGCTTACGCACACCTCGACTAATCTCACGGGGTAACTACCTAACCCTATGACATTTGGTGCTGGGAAACACATAGGAATTACTAATTCTTAAGGTAGGTGGCCAACACGGAGTTTGAACCTATTCCCTCTCAATTAAACCTATTACAAATTGACATGTATTTATTTATTTATTTTTGAACAAGAAACAAACTCTTTATTGATAAATGAAAAGGAAGATTGCTCAAAGATACAAACCCCAAAAGGATCGAAAGAAAGCAAAAGAAAACTGAAAAAAAAAGAAAAGAAAAGATTAGTAGGACAACACTAATGAGGAGTTATAAAGGCCTCCACAATTGTTATAAATCATACTAGCTAAGTAATTAGCAAAAAGATTGGAAAGAACACATCATTGAGAGACTTTAAACTTGGCTGTAATGAAACAAGCCACGAAAGATCTTCTTTTGTCTCCAAACACCCTCTGATTCCTTTCGAACCACAATTCATAGATGATAGGTTTATTGCCATTAAGCCTAAGAAGATTTGCTTTACCATGAAATCGGGCACCACAAAGGAGCTGCAGAATTTTATTTGAGGACTCTAAACCCCAACCCCAAGAGATATTAAATAGTGAGAAGAAAAGAGCCCAACAAGCAACCACAAAAGGGCAAGAGAAAAAGACGTGGCTCTGGGATTCACCATCGTTAGCACACATTAAGCAAACCGAGGGCTGTAGAAACATTGCAGGCAACTTCTTTTGAAGGACATCTGGATAAAAACACAGTCTTTTGTAGGTAAAAGGGATTGATGATAAACATTGCCTCAAGTAATGATCAAACACCTAGAATTTTTAATTTTATGTTTCAGTTATATCTTCACTCTTTCGAGAGTTTGTATCTTTGAACAATTTTGTTTCTTTTTTCATTATTTCAATGAGAAGTTCGTATCTTGTTCAAAAAAAAGTAAGGATCAAACATCTGTGTTTTATTTTGGATACCGCCAATGATTCATCCTACATATTTTGTTGGTTTTTTTTTCAAGATTGTTTTTTTAGGACTTCTCTATGCTATAAAGCTACAGTTGGTTTATTTGCCAATTTTCCGAATCTAAAGATTTTGGTTTCTCAATCGATTCCTCAGATATTCTCATTTTTTTACAGTTTGCAGTAGTTGGAGTCCATTCTGCAAAGTTTGAGAATGAAAAAGATTTAGAAGCTATCCGCAACGCAGTCTTACGCTATGGCATTACTCATCCAGTAAGCTTAATCAGAAGCTGATATTTCAAAGTACTTAATGTATTCTATAACTTTTGTTATTTAGATTTTTGTATTGCCTGGTTTTGAGATACTGGAGTAAAAGTATTAAGAGCAGCTACAAAATATGAACCCGGATTCTTTTTTTATTTTTCATTCTTCACTTGATTTGTTCATGAATTAGCTACAAACATGCATAAGTTGTCAGCTTATTGACTCTCCTCGTTCAGCCCGTGTAAGCATGAATTGATGATACATCAGAGTGCCATATTTTACAATTTTAAGAGCCAATAAATGTAATGGGCTAATTGTTAGACCTATATTTGTATTTGTCGTAGTTTAATTGTATTCTAGAATACTCCTAATTACTTCTAATCACTATTCTTGGAAACCTAGATTTGAGCTGAAAAATGGGAGAAAACCATGAAGGTGAACATAATCCAGAACATTTGAGTGATGTGAAATAAATTATATAACTATTACAACGATTAGTTAAGAGTGTGAGTTTGATAACTATTTGAATTTTTCATCTTCTACTTATAAAAATGGAGGAGGTGTTGCTGTTTCCTCCTTTTGAGGATAGAAGGATCCTACCAAACATAATAATTGGCCGGGTTTTTGGGACAAATTCAGATGGGAATAAGAGAACCAGGTGCTCTGAAGTTAAAAGAAGACCTAAGATCTAAATTTGGGCAGGGACTTCCGTAAGCTCTTTTTTTTCACTCTTTCTAAGGAAAAAGAATAATAGTGGAACTGTAATTCTCTTATCCCATTTGAAAGGATATCATCTCAAAATATGTCTCTAGCATGACCACTTGATGAAATGGGGTAAATGGCCAATAGATCTTGCATTTTTCTTTTGTTCTTGCAAAATAACTGAGCCCATGCTGTGCGTGACTTTGACTTTGAGTATGGTGAATGAGTGGAAAAATCTTTATAGAAGTCTCTATCCCTTGACGAGGGATTGACAGAGATTAGGGTTCTCCTTTCTTAGAGAAAGAGTCGAGTCGATCAGGCTCGACGATAGAGAAAAGCAAAATGAAATTAGAATTTGGTAGTGAAGCCTCTTGCAGATCCTCATCTCATCAGGTCTGCCCAGTTGGGCTGAAGATCCATTTTTGTCATTTATATGAATAAATTATTTTAATTAATAAGAGCTCAATGGACCTACCCCTTATTTTTTCTTTTTTCTTTTTCCTTTTCTTATTCGAGGGGATTTGCTTCATCATCAAAACCTCTTCTCTCGTCCAAACTCTCTTAATCAGTCAAGCAAGCAATTTGAATAGGGATTATGAACAACCCTTATTTTAGCTTTACCTGTTTGCATAAAGCCCCTTCTCTTTAAGAATTAAAGTAAGTAGTTTTCCCAAATTCTCACAGTCTGATACAATTGTATTGTATCATTGTTTTTAGGTTTTAATTTTAGTAAGTCAACAGATTTGTTTGTATTGATTTTTGATGTTTGAGTTAGTTTGAAAATTTGAGTTCATTTCTCGAATATTTATAAGTAATCATAATTTTGAGTCATTAAAATTTTGTCTCTTGAACTAAGGTTGTTAATGATGGGGACATGTTTTTGTGGCGGGAGTTGGGAATTAATTCATGGCCAACATTCGCTATTGTGGGACCCAATGGAAAGCTTCTTGCACAGATATCAGGCGAAGGACGTAGAAAGGTATTGGAAGACCTGCTGTATTTACATGTTCCTTGGAAGAGTTCAAATGAAAATTTTAGCGTTTGTCATGTATTCATATTCTAATTCTAAATGTAGTTTCCTTTTGTTTTTGTATTGTTTTCTTTGGTATGTTTCTGCTTTTGGGATAAGAATTGTTAAAACTGAACCACAAGTAGTATAAGCATGAGCACAATTATTAAAAAATGGTTAAACGTGCAATAAAAAGATGATCCAAAGAAAAGTACTTTTAATATAAAGAAGTAATTTGATCATCGTTTTACTTAAAGATCAATAATGATACCACCTACACGCATCTTCTTCAAATATGTTTTGCATTATGCTAAATACGCTATGAATCAATATTGGCATAAGAACTTTTGAAATCAACATCTTGTTTTAACTCAATCATGCCCATTTCTCAAAACCAATATCATTTCTGATAACTACAATATACTTATATGTTTAATATAAGAAAGAGCATTCAAGTAGCTCCTTCTTAGATTAACAAGGGTATTTTTCCATGAAGGATCTTGATGATTTTGTGGAGGCAGCTCTTCTGTTTTACAGTGGAAAGAAGATCCTTGACAGCAGACCACTGCCTTTGAGATTGGAAAAGGATAATGATCCCCGTTTAATTACATCTCCATTGAAGTATCCTGGGAAACTGGCAATTGATATTCTTAACAACAGGCTCTTCATATCAGACAGTAATCATAATCGCATAGTATGTTTTCTTTCTTATCTTTTAATGCTCTTCAAATCGCTATTCTCAACTGATTTTTTTGAACAAGAAACAACTTTAATTTTCACTGATATATGAAAAGTAAAAATGTTCAAGATACAAACTCCCAAAGCGGTGAAAAAAGAAGAGAGAGAAGAAGAGAAAACGCTATTCTCAACTGATTATGAGATAGGGAACCTAATATTCGTAGTACACCTCCCTCAAAGTTTAGAGTTGCTAGAATTACACCTTCCACCTTGGGCTATTTCTTACTGTGACATTTGGGATTATCTCGAAGGGAGATACAAGACATTTACTTTTATTTCCTCTGATTATGAAAATCAATTGCATTATGGTAAAATTTCCTGAAACTATTTATTGTCTCTATCATTTGTAGCCTGCATACCTTGTTTGCCATGGTTGGTGTCTTGGTGTTCATTTCACCTGATAAAAGAAATAATGGTAGTAGTCAGTTGCGGCTTTTTTTTTTGGGCTAATTAATTTATGTAGTCTAGCTTTAATTTTTTTTTTTTTTTTGAACAAGAAAAAAACTTCTCATTGAATTAATGAAAAGGAATGGCAATGTTCAAAGATACAAACTCTCGAAAGAGTGAAAATAAAAGAATATTACAAGTAAATGGAAAAGAACAAGATAAGCTTAAACATTAAGAGATAAGGTAAAAGCTCCCCAATTGAAACAAATAAGTGAGGGAGAAAAGTTTTTGAACAAAGGTGATAAAGAGCTCCACTGTGAGGATTTGAATTTAGCCAAACTGAATCGATCCAATGGAGATTTGCGACGATCCTTGAAAATTCTGAGATTTCTTTCATACCAAAGCTCGTAGAGCCAGGCTTTGACACCATTTGACCATAGAAAGCTACTGAAAACCAGATTGGTGGTTTAATTTATACAACTAAAGAATATAATATAAGATAAAGTGATAAAGACTATGGAATAAACAGATTGGTGGTTACTGAAAGACGATATGTAACCCAATTCCACCGATATGCTGGTGGAATTCTGTTTCTGATGATTTAAGTACTGATTTTTTTAATTTTTTTTAATAAGAAATAATTTCATTGATATCGTGATATCAGTACTAATGAAAACCACTTTTCTCCTTAATTTGGTTCTATAAATTGGAAAATTATTTTCTTCAGTACTTGGCTGCACTTGAAAAGCTTATCTTTGTTGTTGGAGAGAAATGGTGATTTTAGAAACTGGTAGATAATCAAAAAAAGTTTTTTGGTAACAAAGTCTTTTTGAGACCACAAACAGAGAAGCTTAAGTGAATTGATTTGAAGTCCTGCCCCTGGCCCCTAGGCTATTCTTTCTATTCTATTGTAATCCATGCAATGTTTTCTGTCATGATTTCATCATATACATAATGGCAAATGAAGTGGAACTTCTTTGTATGTGTACAGATAGTAGGGCTGGGGTTGACCATTTTGTTAATATTTGATATTAGGTGGTAACTGATCTAAGTGGGAATTTCCTTTTACAAATTGGGAGCACTGGAGAGGATGGTCTACGTGATGGTACTTTTGATGATTCCACCTTTAATCGCCCTCAGGTAAGCATCAAGTTAAAGACTATTTTGATGTCTGGTTTTAATATACTCACCTTGGCTTTGAATGAAGGTTGGTGGATCTGCCTCTTAAATGAATTTCATATCACTTAACTTACTGTATCTGGGTTCTCTAGGGCTTGGCTTATAATGCAAAAAAGAATCTACTATATGTTGCTGATACTGAGAACCATGCCTTGAGGTAAGTCATAAGTGCATCTTTCAGTATCATTGCATAACGAGCTTATCATCATAGGCTATGTTTCTCATCTTTAAGAAATTTAAAAGAAAGTAAGAATACTTTTGCAATGCATTCATTTGAAGTAACATTAGTCTATACATGTTTATATATTTAATTGAGTGTATTCTTTTTATACATGTGAAAAATAAATAAAAGGTGCCCTTTCCCAGTGAAAAAAAAAGGAAAATGATGATAAGAGTTAAAAGACATGACATCTAGATCGTGTTGGCTTTCATGTTGCCTTTCGTGTTTCCTTATTCCTTTTGTTTGACCCTCCCTATAATTTTTCTGGACTTATTATTATTTAGGGAGGTCGACTTTGTTAAAGAGACGGTGCGTACACTTGCAGGAGATGGAACTAAAGGCTCCGATTACGAAGGGGGAAGAAAAGGAATATCTCAGGCAAGATTTGAAACAAACCTCACATTGAACTTCTTGTTAAACCAAAAATGCTTACCAAAATAAATGGTTCCCTAAGATGAAGTATGAAAGCATTCTTCACAAAATAGTTTGACACTTTTAATTCCTCACTAAAGATAAAACACACGTCTTGCATTTAAATACTTAAATTGAATCCTTTCATATTATCAATGAAAAGTTTGTTTCTTGTTCTAAAAAAAATACTTAAGTTGAACTGAAGAATTTCGTTGATGATGTTACTTTTTTTTTTTTTTTTTTAACAAGAAACAACTTTTGATATATGAAAAGGAGAAAAAGTTTAACGATACAAACTTCTGAAGGAGATGATGTTATTAATTCAAACTTCAAAATTTCATCTCATATTTCAGCTTCTCAACTCTCCTTGGGATGTTTGCTTTGAGCCTACTAATGAAAAGGTCTACATTGCTATGGCTGGCCAACACCAGATCTGGGTGCATGATACTTTAAGTGAAGTAACTAAATCATTTAGCGGCAATGGATTTGAAAGGAATCTAAACGGATCCAGGTAATCCGGTAAAATAATCTATCTTGTTACTGAAAATTGTACTCTATTGTATAAATGGTATTTTACTCCACCATGGGAACAACTTGACTCAAATCAGATGGCTAGAGGTTAATGAATTGGCATAATTTCAACAAGGCTTTTTTTAAGAGCTCAATCAACTACAACTCAAGGACACTTGGGAAAAGTTAAGGCAACATCAAACTCCAAAAGAAGCTTGAACCAAAATCCATTAGTGAACTCCTAATAGAGAAACATATTATAAAAATTTTAAATTTTATTTTCTCTTGAAATTTATTCCATGCTTCCATACTGGTAAGCCTCCTATTCTTAATGAGAATGAGAAGAGGGCCAAAAAGGGGAAAATAACAGCTAGCTGAGATGATTTCATGCCTTTTAAGGCAAGTTAATGTGCATGAGGCAGGGATATTCTAGGTTTGGAGCTTGATAAGAGGGAAACTTGTTGATTCTCTCGGACAGATCAACAAGGATAGTATAAATGTGGAGGTTTTCTTCTTACTTTGGGACTTAATTCTATGAATCTACTGCAGTACCTATTGGCTATTAATATGATGCCAAAGCACGTTATGATCAATAGCATAGAAGATGGATGAGAGAGTTAAACCTATGAAGGAATTTGGAGAAATGGAGGACAAGCTCCAATGATTACTTGGATTGGGGGCCTGGGGCAAGACATGGAGCACCTTACCCAAAATGTTGTTCAGGTATTAGTGGTAATTGATGGCACTCAAAGGATGATGGCGACCATAATGTTAGAGTCAACTCTCGTCTCTAATGGAGCACAAGATCGAAGATGATATGGGTGCACAAAGTGCAATTGAGGAGCCTATTTTGAAGAGGGGAGTAAGAACAAGAGTAGGTAATTGACAAACTGAAAAGTAATGTCTGAGTATTTTTAATCCTCGAACTATTCTTGACAAATCCCTCATCATTTATCACAATACCACTTTTTTCACATGCATGAAAAGGCACTATGATTTTCATGTTATGTCACTAGAGCCATGCAATGGCAATCTTTTGAGGCCCCCATGAACCGGATTTTTAGGAAATACAGGAAGAAGCTTGTGATGGTGTTTGTTGATTACAAAATTACACTTACCTAGTGAGTGGGTCTTGATACCTGGGGCATCAAATTTATATCATGGTCACTTCCCCCAGCATTATATTCAAATGTGGAATGGGTGGTTGAACCAAAATTGATTCTGGAAATTCAACAAGTGACCAGTGAACAAAGTTGAGAATCCTCATCCCATGAAAAGGGTTGTCATCTGTTGAAGTATTTTTAAGAACCATGGGAAATAATACAACAATTTTTAGATTTTTCCATTGGGAACAAGATGTATTTTGGCCTAGGGGTATTATTAGGACTCCAGTTACTAATAAACATGAGGGGAGAAGGAAAAGACAGTTTATAAAAGTTAGTCAGTAGGGCGGGATGATGCCTTTTTAGTCAAGTCAGTGTTGGTTAGATGGGGGTATTGTACTTTTGGAGTGAGGTCAAATAGGAAGGGAGCCTAGCTGCTGATCCTCTTGGAGAAGTGTGGAGGTTTTCTTCTTACTTTGGAACTCATTTTGTGAGTTTACTACAATACTTATTATACTGCAATATTGGTGTTCACTCCATTATTTTGATTACCAGGGATCCAGATATTTTCTTTCCAAATTTATTTTTAGTTCTTCTGGTGTTCTCAATTTAGTACCACAAGTCTTCAAACTAAGGCATCATTTTCTTTTTGCTTATTGAAATAGTTCTACAAGTACATCATTCGCTCAGCCCTCTGGACTTTCCTTATCTCCTGGTAATGAAACTTAAATGGATTCAACTTAATTTAAAAAGCTATTCTATAAAATTCATTTTATTTACTGCTTGGTTTGTAGATTTGTCGGAGATTTATATTGCTGACAGTGAGAGTAGCTCCATCCGAGCAGTTGAATTAAAAACAGGTGGATCAAGATTGTTAGCTGGTGGTGACCCGGTTTTCTCAGACAATTTATTTAAGGTAACTTGATTTTATTAATGTTTTAAAGCTTTTTCCCATTTGTACTATTTGTAGCTAAGGTTGTTACGAGTCCAAACGACTCGGAAAACGACCGATTGAGATTGTGCTTTTTGAATCGAAAATTACATGTATCATGCATTTCCTATGTTGAATCCTAAGAAACGGAACGATCAGATCGATCCGATTCAAGAACAAACAGAAAATTAGGGCTTTTAAGTTTTATTCACCTAATCACGTCTGATCTATGGCGTTTGGTTGATGAAGAATGACCAAAAGAAGAAGAAGATGGCCATTTTGTTGATGAAGAAGAAGAAGCGGCAGCTGAGGAAAATTAGGGTTGGTGACTAATGACTTAGTGGGAGGCAGATTATTGACTATGAGAGAGAAAAATTAGGTTGGCCATGAGTGAAATGATTAAAAATTAATTTTGGATGGGTAGCTCGGAAGAAAAATGGCCACATCACATTGGGAAAGGTGTTAAAATTTGATCTAACGGGCTGGAAGGTGAAAGACCTTTTTAGAAATTTAAAAAAGATTGTTTAGTTTTTGAAATTTCAATAGAATTGTTCAACTATCCTTCCTTTTTATTTTAAGTTTTTTTATTATATATATATTTATATTTATACTATTAAAAATTAAAACTTACAATACACTATTTGTTAAGATACACGATACTTTAAATTTTAAATTTGATACACGTTCCGATTCACGAGTTAACAACCTTGTTTGTAGCATCAATATCTTCAATGACACTTGCTCTTTTCTAACTTTTGCAGTTTGGAGACCATGATGGTGTGGGATCTGAGGTACTACTTCAACATCCATTGGGGGTATTATGTTCGAAGGATGGTCAAATCTATATAGCAGATAGCTATAATCATAAGGTACTTAGATTGTGATTGAAAATATACTTGTACTTGTTACTTCTATGGTTTTAAAGTATTATCATAGCAGCATTATTTAAGCTTTCTGGTTAGGTTCTTCTGTTATGTAGTTACTGAATATTCCTTTCACCTCATGTGTACATCCAATGACTCAAAACAGAATTTTTCAATTTGATTCTTGTGAATACATATTTCTCTTTGCTATTTCTGTATTTCATTATCAGTTTAAGAAATTTTCTCATTTTCCAATTGGAGAGCTACAATTTCATGAAACTGCAAGTTGATCAAACAATGGAATAAGGAAGATTTTTCAAGATGATTATGCCAAAGATATAAAACATTGGTTTTATGCAAATCTACAAGTATATATAGATCTGTGACGCTCAATTGCAATTGATAGTAGAATGGGAGGTCATACTAATGAAGATGTTCCACACTGAAAGAACTCTAGCCAGTCAGCTCGAAGAAATTATATGGTCAGAAAGCCAAAATTGGATAAGTGAAACAAATTAGACGTTGTTCCACTGGATTTCTTAGAGGGGGAATATGGAGAAAAAGAATGAATTAATTTTGGAAATTTTGAAAAGAATTTTAGTGATTAAAAAGCCTATTCTTGATTTTTTTTCCCTCTAATAATGGTTTATATCACTTCGTTGGGCCTTGAGCGCATTATTCAAGTAAGAAGGAAAATAATCTAAATTTATCTCCCAAAAAGGGGAAAAAAGAACCGGGTGGTTCATAAACATCTTACTACTTGTTTAGGATCTTACCCATCAAATTATGATGCTCGTGAAACTGTGACGAAATGAACCTTGTTTAGTGTAAGTAGGTGGTATTGCTTGGCTATTTTAAATATTCAATTTAGAAATTTGTAGGTTGCCTTTTATGGTAATTGGTAAATGAAGAAAATAGCTTGGCTAATAATTTCCGGAGGTAAAATTTTGCAAATTCAGCTACTTCCCATTGATCCTTTTGTCTTCTTTTTTTTTTTTTTTTTTTCTTTTTTCAAAGTTAGAATTTGTTGCACTTGCAAACTTATGTGTGATAACTTTCCAATTTTTTCTTTGACAAGGGATTAAAGTATATTTCAGCACGTTATACTGGTTCTGTTCCCATATAAATTACATGACATTACAATTCTGCTTTATTTACTTGATCACCAAGATTGTAATTGTGAAGTTCTCTTTGTTCCTTTATAAAATTAGATCAAGAAGCTTGATCCAGTCAGTAAAAAAGTAATTACAATAGCTGGAACAGGAAAAGCTGGTTTCAAGGACGGGACAGCCCTAGCATCTCAGGTTAGTAACTATGCTTTATCAGCGTACTTATAATTGTGAATTGAACTGGTAAAGAACTTAGAACGTATCCACTGTTTGTTCTTGCAAACCCTAAGATATTATGGTATACCTCAGCCTATCTGACATCCAGGAGTGGAGTCCAAAATTTTTTTAGGGAGGGACAAAATATTACATTCTAATTTGTTTATATCTTTCAATTCTAAAAAATTTAGTTGGGAAATTAGAGAGAGAATTTTAGAACCGTAACTTCTTTGCTCCACCCCCACGATATCACAAGGTAGACATTTGGAGTATCATCTCCTACAAATCTATATGGGGTTGTCGATGGTTTTTGACATGAATTCTCTTATTATGTTTTTCTCGTTGAAGCTAAAACAAAGTTTGAGTTATCAGGCTACATGAACTCCTCAAAAGAGTTACATATTTGTTTCATACACAAACAGAGTGCCATTTTCAATCAAAGCAAAAATGACTTATACAATTGTATTTTGCAGCTTTCAGAGCCATCTGGAATCACTGAAGCTGGAGGTCATAACTCAACTTATTCTTAGAGATTAGAGAACATAGTACTATAACCTTGTCTGAAATTTTCATGAAAATAATTTGGTAGCATCCTTAAACTGCATCTAAAATCATTTAATAATTTACTGAGACTAAAGCTTCTGTTTTCTTTATTTATCTTTTTCCCCTTTTTTATTTATGAGTGAAGTGGTCATTGATCAGATTTCTTTATTTTATATTGCACTATCAGTCAAGTATATTGAATGAAACAAATCATGACAAATTTCCAGTTTTGTAACAATGTTGTCAGTGTAGACTCATTTTCATAATGTTTCTACAACAGAGACTGATAATTTGAAAGAGTACTGGTAATTTGAAAGAGTTCTCATCTCAATTTATTTTGATGCTTATAATGCTTTTTAATGTAGTGGAGACAGATCCTATGACATTAGAGTATCAAAACTGATCAACAATATAGTGACAATCATTACAGATCTGTTGTTTTCGTTTGCAGATAGGTGATGAAGGAGAAAAAATGATTAAGTAAATTGGAAGGAACATTAGAGGAGAATATCTAAATTTAACGGTGAAATTATGACCAAAAACAAAAAGGGAAAAAGTAAAAAATGAAATAAAGATAAAAAATAATGTTGGTAATGTCATGTTGTCTCACTACTTGTTTTAGCACTTCTTCTTCTTTTTATTTTTTTATTATTTTTTTTAATAAGAAACGATGAGAATATAATTAGAATCACTACTTGGTTCAGCACATGTTTTTTTCTTTTTCCATAAGAAACAACACTTTCATTGAGAGAAATGAAATAAGAAACAAGAACAATAAGGATAAAAAATGGAATACAAAAAGACAGCTCTGAAAGAGAAAGCCCCTATAGAAAATGACTCCAATCCAAAAGAATAAGGTCTAGTGGATAATTATGAAAGGGCTTATAAACCGAGCCCCATAACGAAGTATTAAATTAGAATCACCTCATCCTTTTACTGAAACAAAATTTTATTCTCCCCTGAGATAAACTATCTTGAAATTTCTCAAAATGTTGATAGTTTCTATTGAATGACTATGCCACTCGACAGAAAGTGGAGCCTCATGAAATCTCATGGTCATCCGATGATCTATGGAAGCTCAAACAAGAAATACAGCTTCTCTACCTTCTAATTTGAAATTTTTGCTAGTTATTATTACAATTTATGTTCATTCTCCTAAAAGTATTTTGGTCCTACTGAAGTATCATCTGGATACAATATAAAATATGATTATGTGGAAAAGAAATTGGAGGAAAACAATGAAATGTTTCCTTATTCAATTGTACTTTTTATTTCAAAAGCTTGCATTTAGATGGCATTTCTTCTGACTTCGCAGGAAGACTTTTCATTGCTGATACAAACAACAATGTTATCAGATATTTAGATCTGAACAGAGAAGAAGCTCAACTCTTAACTTTGGAGCTGAAAGGAGTTCAACCTCCAAATCCGAAAACAAGATCTCCTAAACGATTGCGTAGACGTTCACCTGACACTCAAACAATCATCGTTGATGGGGGCTCATTCAGTGAGGGCAACCTATCGCTTAAAATATCATTGCCAGAAGAGTATCATTTCTCAAAGGTCCACTTTCATCCCTGTACTTTACATTCTCTCAAGAACATGAACTTGTGGACATTGATTACTCTTCCAATGCATTGCCACTCATATTTAATAACATAGGATGATCCTCTTGGTCCGTGTTGGCAATCATAAATCATATACATTTGTTAAAATTATGGTGGAACACTTAACCATTGTGACTGAGGAAAATAGAAATTATAAGCTAGGGAATGATTCAAGAGCTCCTGGTGTAGACCAAGAAGAAAGAAAACTCTGAAATTTCTTATTACCCAAAACAGAGAGGCGGGCTGGCTGTTATAAGCTGGCAGCCCAACTAACAACTAACTAACTAATTCTTTAACAGATGGTTTTAAATGTAAATGGCTAACAGTTATAAAACGGTAAGTGTAACTAAGAGTTACATCAAATTCCCTCCCTCTGAGAAAAAACTCGTCCTCGAGTTTAGCTAGCTAGGGCAAACGCATCCTCATCTTTATAGTCATAGATATCTGCTACATTGAAGATGGGAGTTATGCGAAGGTCTTCTGGTAGATTCACTTTGTATGCATTATCACCATACTTGTGAAGTATCTCAAATGGACCGATCTTCTTGTTGCTGAGTTTGTTGTAGGTTCCTTTAGGAAAGCGGGATTTCTTCAAGTACACCATGACTAGGTCCCCCACTTCAAATGTCTTATGTCGTCTATGTGTGTCTGCTACAGTTTTGTAGGATGCTGCCGCTTTGGTGAGGTTTTCTGTCACTTCTTTATGCAAGTCCACAATTCGCTCGGCCATTAGTTCCTCCTCCTGATTAAGATCAATAGAAGATGGTAAGTTAGCGAGATCCATAGTTAGTCTAGGAAGTTTTGTATAAACGATCTCAAATGGGGACTTCCCTGTGGATCGATTGCGCATATGATTGTAGGCGAATTCAGCTTGTGCCAATGTGAGATCCCATGGCTTTGGTTTAGATCCCCCTAGGCAGCGTATAAGGTTTCCCAAAGTTCTATTTGTAACCTCCGTTTGGCCATCCGTTTGAGGATGGCTAGTTGTGCTATAATCTCAAACTGGTATCAAATTTTTTCCACAACGTTTTCCAAAAGTGGCTCAAGAATTTTACATCCCGATCTGAAACAATTGTTTTTGGTATGCCGTGTAGTCTTACTATTTCCCGAAAGAAAAAATTAGCAATATAAAGAGCATCCGATGTCTTTTTACAAGGTAGGAAATGAGACATCTTGCTAAAGCGATCCACAACGACTAATACTGAGTCATAGCCTCGTTGTGTTTTGGGCAATCCGAGGATAAAATCCATTGAGAGATCTTCCTATATGGATTGAGGGATTGGGAGGGGAGTGTAGAGCCTGGTATTTTGAGATTGCCCCTTAGTCGTTCGGCATATAAGGCAGCGGCTCACAAAATTGTTAATGTCTTTCCTTAACTGAGGCCAAAAGAATCGTGACGCCGCCAAGGCATAGGTTTTGTCACGGGCCCAAGTGGTCGGCCAAGCCTCCACTATGTAAATCTTTTATTAAGGTTTCCCTTAATGATGTGTGTGGTATACACAATCGATCACCCTTAAAGAGATAGCCATCGAGAATATAAAAATCATTGGTGTTAACATGGTCGGTGCACTTGGTCCAGATATCCCCAAAGTCACAATCAGTTTCATATGTAGAAGGTAGGTGTTCAAATGCAATAACTTGTCCTGACAGAATGGTCCAATAGACTAGTTTTTCTACTATGGGTGTCGGCCACTTTATTAGTTGTACCAGCCTTATGTTTTATAACAAAATCAAATTTCTGCATAAATGCGATCGAACGGGCATGCATCCGATTAATGGTTTTTTGAGTTTGGATATATTTAAGTGAAAAGTGATCGGTAAAAAGTATAAACTCTTTCCCAATAAGATAGTTTTCCCATTGTTTTAATGCTCTAATTAATGCATATAGTTCTTGTTCATAGGTGCACCATTTTTGTTTAGGTGGGGTGAGTTTTTCACTAAAGTACTCAATAGGGTGTCCTTTTTGGGCTAACACAGCACCTATACCAATGCTGGATGCATCAACGGCCACTTCAAAAGGGTGAGAAAAATCTGGTAAAGCCAAAACTGGTATAGAGCTTAATTTGTCTTTTAGGGTGTTGAAACTAGTCGTCTGTTCTATATCCCAAAAAAATTTTCCCTTTTTTAAACAATCAGTGAGAGATGCAGCAATTGTGCTAAAGTGTTTGATAAACTTGCGGTAGAAGGAGGCTAATCCCAAACAACATTGAATATCTCTAACCGAAGTTGGTATTTGCCACTGTTGGATAGCTAGAACTTTAGATGGATCAACAGAAATTCCAAATTGTGTGATATGAAAGCCAAGGAATTCTATCTCAGTTGTCATGAACGAACATTTAGCTAAATTAATATGTGGTTGGTGTTCATGTAATGTGGAAAAAAGTGTCCTAAGATGTCCTAAGATGTTCTAAATGTTCTACTTCAGTTTTACTATAAACTAAGATGTCATCAAAGTAAACTACAATGAAATTGTTAAGATAGGGACATAGTACCTGATTCATCACGTGCATAAACGTACTTGGGGCCTTGGACAACCCAAATGGCATAACAAGCCATTCAAAGAGACCTTCTTTAGTTTTGAAGGTTGTTTTCCACTCATCACCGGGTCGTATGCGTATTTGGTGGTATCCACTTTTGAGATCTACCTTAGAGAATAGGTGTAAGTTGATCTAATAGATCAGACAAATGAGGTATAGAGAAGCGGTATTTTATTGTAATTTTATTGATAACATGACTGTCCACGCACATTCGCCAAGAACCGTCTTTTTTAGGAGCAAGCAAGACGGGGACAGTGCAAGGACTAAGACTAGGTCTGATATGATCCTTGAGTAAAAGTTCATTCACTTGATAATGTAAAATTTGATACTCCTTGGGGCTCATTCTATAATGTGGCAAATGTGGTAAAGAAGAGCCAAGGTGAAAATCTATGCAATGCTGAATGTCTCGTAAGGGTGGTAAGCCCGTAGGGTCTTTAGTTAGATCAGCAAAGTCTTTTAGGAGTTGTTGAATGATGGGGTGGTGAGGAGTAGGTTGAGGTAAGGAAGCGTCCCCCTTTAACTACCAAGGCACATACCATAGGATCACCTTTTCTCTAAAAAGATTTTCCCATTGATTATGAAAAATAGCTGTTTAGGAGCAGGAGATGTATCTTTCTTGGACTTAACATCCATATTGGAAAGGAGGAGAACAATTTTCTTGCATATCCACGTAAATTCGTAAGTATTGTCATGACCTCTATATAATGCTTGGAGGTCATATTGCCGAGGGCGTCCCAACAAAATGTGGCAAGCATCCATATCCAATACATCACATATAACTTGATCCTTATATTGATTACCAATGGATAAAGGTATGGTGCAAACAGAATTTATTTGCGCCTCACCCCCTTTTCGGATCCAAGAGACCTTATAAGGGTTAGGGTGAGGATCAACCTTGAGATTTAAAGCTGTCACCAACCTTTGTGAAACCATATTCTCACAACTACCACTGTCTATGATCACGTTGCAAATTTTCCCATTTACAGTGCAACGAGTTTGAAAAAGGGAATGTCGTTGATTAACATTTTCTACCTTTGGAGCAAGGAGAACTCTTTGAAGGACACAGTTAATAGGTTCGCCATTATCAGGTTGAACATAGGCAGTATCGTCCTCATCAAGAAGTTCTGGTTCTTGATCATCTTGATCGTCCTCATCAACTAATGCCAAGGCCCGTCGTTGAGGGCATTCGTTGGACAGATGGCCCAACTGCCCACATCTAAAGCATTTCCCAATAGTAGGTCTAGTATATTGATTATTACCTCGTTTAGTTGTAGAATCCGTAGGTTTGGGAAGAGGCACAGCTTTAGGAGCATTATCGATCTTTAAAGCAGTAGAGGTTGAAGGACCACCCAAAGTTAAAGATTTGTTAGTATCCATACCTGATGTCTTAGTAAGATGTTGTTTGTCCCAAGTAGCTGGTCGAAAAGGAGGCTTCAACCGTTTCCTTTCTAGCTTTGCTTCAACTTTGGTAGCCATAGAAATAGCTTCAGTAAGTAATCCAATTGGCTGGGTATCCATCTGATCTTGGATATCCTCATGCAATCCCTCAAGAAAGCGTGCAATTTTATAGTCTTCATTTTCAGCCAAGTTGGTGCAAGCGCCAGGCGGTGAAACTCCTCAGTATAGTCAGCGACGGTTTTACTGCCTTAACGACATTGCTGATACTGCGATATAACATCTGCTCGAAATTGGTCGGTAGAAAACGCTCGTGCATAAGGCGCAACATGCGGGGCCAGCTTCGAATGGGGCGCTTGCCAAGGCGCCGGCAGTTGATGTCAAGTTGCTCCCACCAAGCCGAGGCACCCGATTGTAAACAGAAAGCCACCAACTTAACATTCTTATCCTCTGGTGTTCCCGTGTAATCAAAAAAATTCTCAACATTCTTGACCCAGTCCAAGAATGCTTCTACGTTCATTTTACCATTGAACGTAGGTAAATCAATCTTCATATGGAAATCAGTTTGGACCCCTCCCCTATTCTGACGTGCTCCATGATCGAAACGGGGATTCTCACGAAAAAAGCCATCCTCCCCTTCTGAAGAATCTGAATCTTGGACTCTCAATTGCAAATCCTGACCCCTACGACCGTACCCATCCATTTTTCTTGCACAATCAGGAGTTGGTGATCTGTTTCTTGGTCTTTCTTGGAGCTGTCCTCCCTGATTTGCGTGCCTTGATTCCTCAAGTCCATTTGCAAGCGTTCTTGCTCCACGGTGATCAACTCTAGCTGTCGTCCAACATTCTCTAGTAGTTCATGTATACTACGGACGTTCGTCCTAACTTCTCCCAGTGAATCTTCCACAAGCATCAAGTGACTAGTGGTTGTTTTTGGAGATAAAATTTGTTCTGCCGAAGGGTCTCCTGCAAGTCCCTTCCCGGAAGCCTCTGTGTTCTTCCCCATTATCAGGTCTCCCAACTCGTTTAGAGTGCTCTGATGCCAAATTTGGTGTAGACCAAGAAGAAAGAAAATTCTGAAATTTCTTATTACCCCAAACAGAGAGGCGAGGTGCCTTTTATAAGCTGGCAGCCCAAATAACAACTAACTAATTCTTTAACAGATGGTTTTAAAGGTAAATGGCTAACGATTATGAAACGGCAACTAAGAGTTACATCAGCTCCCCTATCTCTCCAAAATACCTTCGGACTATGCTAAGTCTTAAGACAAAAGATATCCTCCTTCCCACAATTCTTACTTAAATACTAATACCATTCTTGGACCGGACGATGTCATCCTATTAACTATTAATAATCAAGCTCCTTGACTATACTTGACTAGTAGACTTAACAATGAAATCTGACTCTTAGCCTTCCTCTTCAACGTGACTTGTAGCCTTCTCTTTCAATCCACGTCCAAATCCTTGTAGTGCATTTCCTCCTCAATTAATATTGATAGCCACTTGTTGGGCCTTGTGCTAATTTCTAAGCCCACAAGAGAATATTAAATTATTAATAAAAAATTAAGGGTGCATTTGGTTTTTTCTTTTTTTAGTATAACATGTGGGGGCGGGGATTCGAACTCACAACCTTTTGGTCAGTGATCTAGAAACAAAAATTTGAATACAAGGGTTTAATGAAAAACAAAGTTGTATTTCATATCTTCATTGTTTTTTAAGATGTATTTGGTAGTTGATTTAGAATCTGAAAATACTAAAAACCATGTAAATATTGTTTAAAAAATGTTCTCTTTTTAGTCGTAGAATCCAAATACAATCTAAAAACTGTTCAAAAAAATAAACCCACCAGAAATTTCTACGATCCAAAAACTGTTTTAAAAAAGAAACTCACCAAACAGAAATTCACTGGATTTATTTGATTTAGTAAATGTGAAAAAAAAAAACTGAATCTAGGTAAGATAGCAAATTGTAATTGATTAGCTTAGGCTTTTCGATTTAATGGTAGTTTAACAACCTATTGCCTTCTACTTCCAATTGCAGGAAGCTCGCAGTAAATTTAGTGTTGATATTGAGCCTGAGAGTGCATTATCTATTGACCCACCAGAAGGGTATCTTAGTCCAGAAGGATTTGCTAATCTTCATTTTAGGAGATCCTCTCCTGCAGCTTCACTTGGAAGAATAAGTTGCAAGGTACTGACCCCATAAAGGATTTGGCAACATGAGATTCTTTGCCTTGTGAATCTGAATCCAGTATTCTTCAGATTCGCAGAAGAGTCGATTAATGTGTGTTTTGGTTTTTCTGGTTAAAAAGTGAGTTCAATTTTTGCTTACAGGTTTACTATTGCAAGGAAGATGAGGTGTGTCTATATAAATCACTGTTGTTTGAGGTACCCTTTCGTGAGGAATTGTCAGAAACTAGCCAGGCCAAAATCACGCTCGCCTTTGAAGTGAAGCCAAATACTTCAACAAGCAGCTTGCCACTATAATACTCTAGTAACACATGAATATATATATATAAAAGCAGTCTTTCATTGCTTGGTTTGATTACTATAAAGTAAAAGTATCATTTTTTGGTGATCCTCAGAAGAAGATTGAAAAAAAAAAAAACAATTGCTATGACAGCATTTGATAAATATAATTAAATAAAAATTACATTTGCTTGAAGCAAACATTTTGATTGATACGAAGAAGCTTTATTTATTTATTTTTTTTAACCATAGTTTATCAGGAAGATTGAACTGAATACTATTAAGTTCAGTTCCAAACCCTTGCCATGAAGGTACTTGGGATTGACGAAGCTTTACAAGAAATTAGTGGGGTGGGCCATGAGCATAATGCAAGATACTTGGCCTCGACCACCTCATTAAAAAAAAAAGATCTCTTTATAATTTCTTGACATGTACATTTTCATTGTACAAGAGAGTATCAATGATTCAACTAAGGGAGATGCAAAAAGGGGAGGGGGACAGTTGGTAAGATTAATTGCTTCTTGTCCCAAACTGTTGAAATCGGTGAGTTTTCAGTTGGATGTCATGTTCCTCAAACAATCATATAATGCCTGTTAGATCTGGACAATTCAATTGTTGCTTTTTTGTTTTCTATCTATTACATCAAAATTTTGAACACCAGACAGAATTTTTCTTATGACTTGACATCAGGTGCCTTCCAGTCGTGCATGTGAATCTTAGTTGCGGTTAGGCGATCTGTCATCATCACGGTTCGAGTAGCGGGAACATCTCGTCGTCGTTATGTTTTAAAGTCCAAGTAAGTTGCTGAATTTTCTTATAAAATTTGCACGTACAGTGCTCACTTATTAATTAGTTGCACATGGATAATGTTGTGTATCATTTCAGATCTGTTTAGAATTCTGTTCTAATGCCAAGTGACAGATTAGCCTTTTCATATAATTGATTACAGTATAAAAAAAGACATCTTTAGACTAACCATGTGGAAGGAATGCATATGTTTAATCAAAACAATCTCTTCAGATATGATAGTACACAAAGATGACAGCTTTTTTCCAATCTATCTCCATGTTCATCTTCTTGCTGACATTGAATCTGAATTTTTCGTGCAAAGAACCGTATCGCCGCTGGTTGAATGCTTCTTTTTCTTTTTTCTTTTTTCTTTTTTTTTAATGTATTTCTTCATGCTTGTCCTTTACCATTCAAGATTCTTATTAGTTTTTTATTCATGTTTTCGAAACTGTTTTCAAGAACTACGATCAGATGGCTTGTAAAGGGTAGTCTTTTAAAAGAAAAAAAAAAAGCTTCATTTGTTTTAAAAAACCATCTCATCCATTAAAGCACACTAAAGAAAAACACGAAAATAAATTAAGAAAAGTTAATTCAAACATGCCTTCTGTTATAAAAAGTAGTAGAAAATTGTATGGTTAAATTAAAGTTTTCTGTGAACTTTCAATTTTGTATCCAATAGGACTTTAAACTTTAAGTGTCGAATACGTCTCTGAACTTCAATTTTATGTCCCAATAGGTTTCGTTCAACATTTTAAAAATTCACCGACATGTTATATACAAAATTGAACTTTGTGTCTAATAAGACCCTAACCTTTAATACAGGAGATTTGGAACTAAACGGTAAAGTTTTGCTGTGCAGAAACTGGTTTCAGCAGGGTTCGACAACAGAAAACCAAAGCAGGTAACAATTGCCAAAAAAGTTTGGCGTTTCTTCAGGTTAGATATCACTGGTACGTTAGAATGAATGAAAAACATTCAAATTTTAGGGCCAAATCCGTGACATATGAAACAAAGAAATGGTTTACTTGTCAACTTCATATCAATTATTAGGAAATGAGAGACATATTATTATTATTATATTCTAAATGTGTGAGAGAAGCCATTAATTAAATTCATTAACCCATGTTAGGGGGCAATGGAGCAGAACCCAATCATATGCTTTTTCTTAAAAACTATTGTTTCGGGCTGTCTTGTTCAATAATCACAGGTTTAAAATATATATATTTTTAATTATTAATTAAGGTTACCAAATAGTTTAAGATTTAAATACCTCATTGAAGAGCTCAAAGGCTTTATCAGATGAAAATTATTGATGTATTTTGGTAATGGATAAGCATGAATCTCTGGTTTGGTGAATTCTATAGGATTAGTTTATTCAACTTTTTCCCATTTGATCAAAACAATCTGAGTTGAAAAAAGCAAATGGAGGAGAATTGTTATAATATTTGTAAGACTTTTCAATTCCTTTCTCTTGTCATTAAGATTATTAAGATGATAATGATGATGATCTAAAATGTGATATAAAATTCTATGTTGGTTATTTTGGAGTTTGATCATTCTTGTTTATTGCTCATTGTTTTTCATTTTCAATTTTTCAGAACAAAAGTGTGGTAACGGTTCCTATTTTTCATTTCTTATTTTTAAGAAACCTTTCTAAAATTGTGTAGAAATTTTGAAAATAAACRAACCATGTTTCTCCTTGCTTATTTATATTCAGGTTTTTGTTTTTCAAAAGATAGATAAAGTATTATTTTCTTTTATTTTTAAAATGTATAATAAATATCAAAAATCAAATATAACATAAAAAAAAAGTTTGAATATTTATTTTGAAAACTTGAATTTATATAAAACTTTTTTTTTAATCTAAAATTTTAGACAAGTTCCCAAAAATGTTTTCGTTTCTTTTTTTCAATAAATAAAATAACAAATGACAGTTACCATTTCTTGATTAAAAAATAAGAAATAGAAAACAAGAAACCAGACATTACGAGATAGGCTCTAAGTTTTACATCAGTTTTATTTTTCAAATATTTTAATGTACATACGTATGTAAAAATTTGTAGGATCAATGGATCGGTCGTTTGGAATAAGCAAATCAATTAATATATAAGTGTGGAAATTCAAATCTTAAACTTTTTAGTTGATGACGTATGTCTTAATCAGTTGACT